ACTCTTTCCAAGTTAGATACCACTGTAAGCAACTAGAGCTGAGGTGGAACGGTGGCCTTCATCAGCTTGTATAGAACCCAGGAAGCATTGATGAGATATCACTTAAAAAATACTTGAACAAAAGATTTTTTTAATAGTACACATTTATTAAATCTGTAGATAAATATCTAGCAATCTGGAGTATGAATGCCTCAGTGTGCTCTGCTAAGGAAGCACTATAGTCCACTGAACAAGGAATTACCTGCCATTCCTAATTTTCTACACATATTTTGCCAAGAAGGTCATTATTTCTTAAAAATCTAGCAGTACCTAAACAGGACCTGAACTCAAGTAGATTTGCATTGCAAAGTACTTACCGCCCTTCGAATCTATGTTTTAAAAAATCAAATAATGCTTTTTGCATCATATCTGTTACCTAAAAGCAAACAAACAACAAATTAATAATCACACAGGAAACTCATAATACTTGATGCTAATAATAATATGTAATAAAGTTGACAGTAAATCTTATATCTGAACAGTATGATTGGAATGTAAGTAATTTATTCTTAATCTGAATTCTGATATGAAATAAAATACATGTAAGCAGGTACCTGGTAGAAGTAAAAACTGTCTATATTTTTGTCTATGATGTAAATCACGTTAGTCAGCTTTAACTACCTTTGAACATTCAAATACAAATGAAGCACAGTATTTTTGGCAAAATACAACGATTCACAACAATCACTTACCTCGTATCCCTTCAGAGAAGGCCCCACTAAAACTACTGGTCGCATAGAAGGCACTACATCATAGGGAGGGATGTGCTCTGTCTGCAAAACAGAAAAAGCTTTCAGCAACACAGCACCTAGAGGTAGTGTTACACATTACTGACAATATTAGGAACTCTGAATTTCCAGTGATGTCACCAACACAGGAATCATGGATTCATTAACTTTTCCCAAAAACTGGTAGTATAAGATAAGGACATAACAGGTTCAGGGATTCCTTTTGAAAAAGCTTTTCTTTGACTTTTGGTTTTCTTGCTGTTTTCGTATTTGCTCTGGATAGCTACAAAACTGTTATTCTGAAGACATTCATACGTCCCACTCCATAATTCCTAACTGGTTAACTGAAAAGCTTCTTTCCAATAGTTAATGATTCTAAATGATTGACTCTAGAGCTGTGACATCTGTTTCCCACTAAAATTTTAAGTAGGCAAATTATGAAGGAGAAAAATGAAACAAAAAGGGAGGGGAAAAGCATAAGATATCTCTTTTTATGTTCGGCTCTGCCTACTGCTTGACAAAACATTGTGACACCGCTGCAAATTCCCATGGGAGCACTCATAGTCTGACTTCCACATTTGCATCTGCAATTCACTTGCAAATGAAATCAAAATAATGATTGAACAAGTTAGTATTTAGAGAAAATTTTCATAAACAGAGCTTGGGATAGCAATCCTTCCACTTTGGGAAGTTCCCATCACCACCCAAGAATGGATTGTGTTAGTACACTATTCACCAAACTACTTACTGATGTATCATGCACAATTTATAACAAGTATTTTAAAATACAAAGACAAAAAGATTGCCTGTTTCCAGACTGCAAAATTTTTATATTGTTATTGAAATAAAATATAAACAAATTAAACTGTTTTTTTTTTTCCTTTAGGAAATGGCTATTCAATATATATCACCAAGAATGAGTCTTATCAGAAAGAGTTTTTTGTTTGTAAGGGAGGGTTTGTTTTATCTTTGTCTTGGGGAAAAAATGATTGAAATCCAAACCCAGGAACGTGTAGGTGATATGGAAAAAGGTATGCCAGATCTATTTTTCAAATGTCCACATAGTACAAATACATCAGTCAAGATCACAGAATACAGTCATTGTTCATTGTTTCAGTACTCAATGTATCCCAAGGTGTTTCACAATAACATTAAATGAGAATATACATTCCGAAACACAAAAACACAAAGACAGACATTAATACAGTGACAGCACAAAATGCTACACAAGCAGCAGTCTAAAGCAGTCTAAAACATGGAAAACATTTTTGTGAATGTTTTTCAATGTAATTTATCTTATTTTTTGTTACCTGTAGCTTCACCAGATAATTAGTAACATAAGAATGAATAGTAGTGCCCAAGGCATCATAAGCATGTGAAATGAATTTATTCTACACTGTGCAGAATCTGACTCAACACATTTCAAAGCAAAACCCTGCAACTATGCTGTGCCAGTATCAAAATGCAGCCCTCCACTGTTCTTGCTAATATTACTAATAATCTGATAAGCATATTAGAGACAGAGCCTAAGAAAAATTCATTACAGATGTGTAAGTGCTTATAGCATGAGTGTCCTGATGCAACAGATCTTTGTCTTAATGTGGCTGACTCAACCAAAAGTATTCATGCTAGAAGTTAACCAGCTATTTGAAATTTAGGGAAAGCACAGAAATTACCTTATTTGATGGAATATGGGGTATTTTAAAAATTTGTTGGGTCAAAACAGGCATTTTTTTTCTCTAATCTTTACAGCTTGAAGCAATGAAGCTGTCAGCAGAAAATTGAGTAAAAGTTATCTAATGGAAGCATTAAAGTTCTTTAATTTAGCATAAGAGAATCTAATATTTTCTAAAGGACTGGCACTGAGCTATACCGCTTTCACTTGCAGATTCAAGTTCAAATATGAACTCGGAATAAAAACTAGCATAGTTTTGACCATACAGCTTTTGCTCAGTGGTTTGACTATGTATGATTAGTTTGGGATGCCCATCCAGTATTTGCTGTAAATGTCAGTATTACAAAAACCACTACAACCAGTAATGATTCTGATACGGAAGAAAAGAGGCACCACAGAATGAAGTGAGAGATGGGACTAGCCACCATCCAGGTCCAAGGTGGTTCATCTAGAAGCTGCATCTTCGAAATATGCTTATGCAGATAGCATCCAATACACGTCAACACGTATTATTCTTCCTTAGCATTTATACTTTGTTATAAATATGATTGAATAAGAAATTACTCAGAAGGAAGAAACTGCTGTTGATTTCCATAGTGGGCAGTGAATGATATAGTACTTAACAGACCCTACTGAAGCAAATACCAGTAACTTTGGAAATGAAAAGGATCCAATATTATTTAAAAGAGTTCAAGAAGAAAAGAGAGAGAGAAAAAAAGTTTTATTTACTAAACATGAGAGCATCCACAGCAATGGCAACAGTGTCACTTGGCACTGTTCATAAGCACTGTAACAGTCTGCTGTTACCAGTAGATTTAAGTGAGTGGTTAAAAACAAATGAATAAGAGCTATGAAGACTGAGATTTAAAAACAAAAAAGTAGAAATGCGGTATTTCACTGCATAGTTTGGCTGCTACCTAATATCTTGATAACTTATTCCAGCAAAGATCCTAGAAACGTATTGCAGTTTGCTGTAACAGAATGCCAACTGCGCAATTCTGTAGTTATCTGGGTTATCTATGGAGATACATTGGCTCTCCTGGGAACCACTAGTACCATTTCCAATAGCTGAGATACTACGAAAGTCTGACTGATGGATGGCAAGAACATTTGGCTGATAATTTATACATGACAACAGGAAAAACTCAAAGTAAACCGTCAAAACAAGTCTGCAGTTTTCCACTGGTCTTGTTCACCTGAAGATTTTGCACCTAGTGAATTAGAAGTTTAAATACTGACTAAATCAAAAATACAATGGATTTGACTATTTGTTTTCTAAGTACAGTCTGAATATCTGCTCAGATTCCAAAAATTATTTCAACAGACTGAGTTATAAGGAAAAAAAAAACTTGAGAAAGATAGAGATAGAAAGAATAAGCATGCTCTAGAGAGGTGCATTATATGGATTTGTTAGAATTAAATTTCTCAAACTTTTAGACGGCCTTCTAAGTGTGTCATATTATTCCATCAAAAAGGATAAGTACTGTAGCAGAGTTTCATGGATGCACTGAACTTGGGACTGTTTGTTTTCTTGTACTGAGTCCACTAACAACTCGATACATTTCTTCCTTAATTCTGGAATAGCTGCACTGTTAATCTGGGGTAATAATGCTAATGATGCCAGTGGCAGGATAAACACAGGTAATGTCGATATAAACTTACCGATTTCTGCTTCTGCTTAGCTACAGCAGCATGGAAAAGAAACAAAGAACAACAAAGCATGCATGTTATTGGCTTGTCAAAGGACGCAGACAGTTAACAGGACTAGAAATGTGACGCAGTGCAGGTGAGCAGGTGGACAGATGGGAGCTTGGAAGTCGGTGTTACCTTCTTAAAGAAGGGCATTCTTTTCTCTTTGGAGTGGGGTGATGTTACACTGTTTGCACTGGGTTTGGGGGAGCGATGGTTTGCTGGAATATCATTTTCTTCTGCATCTAAGCCAGTGGCATCTATGTCTATAGCTATATACAGACAAACAATTCAGAATTATCAGATGACAGGGAAAGTAAAGATAGGTTAAAAAGGAAATAACAGGTAAAGGAAAATAAAACTGTCCAGAGTAATAAATAAATTAAAAAAAATTAAAAAATCAACCATGAGTACAAAACACAATAAAACAAAGGGAAAAATTTAAAGGTGCAGTACATTAGGATTAGAAGACAGAAGGCAATCTGTAACAGCTACTGTAACATTTTCCTCTGATCCCCTTTTACACAGCTACATCAGACATACACAGAATTACTCTTACAAAACAGAGCAACGGCCAAGTTCTTTCTTGTTACACGAGTGTAAATCCAAACTAGTTCACTGGAACAGATAAGACTTTCATCAATGTAAACAACAGAACTTGGCCAACAATGTTTGAATTATTTTATAGTAATGAACACTAATTCAAAATGGGTATCATCAATTGAAATTTGAAATGTGACTAGCATGTCTATAGGAAATTAAGAAACAGAAGAAAAATCACTTTTGAAGACAAAATCAGCCTGATACTGGTACAATAATATCTACATTTATCTCAGGGTGTACTACAATTGGCATTTTAAACTATTTTAACTAAAAATGCACAGTAGTCATACGATACATTTATTAGAGATAATAAAAACAGATCTACTAACAGTGAAAACTAAAAAGAATGTGTAGCAGAAGAGAGGAAATTGATCCCAGCTTGTCTCAGAGACCTGGATCCTGTTGTAAAGAGTGAGGATGTAGGCAGGGCAAAATGGAAGTGAATACAACAAACCACTGCGGTTCAACCTTTACCCCAAAAGAATATGCAGCACACAATGCTTATACCATACATATAAAATATTTACCCTCTTTAGCAAGTAAGTAACAACAGTTTAAGCAAAAATCATCATGGACTCAGAAATAAATACATTTTCAAAATGCAAAGCCATGTTATTCTGAATGCTGAGTCCAACAGATACCTGCTAACTACATCCGAAACAAAATAAAACCAAACCAAACCAAAGAAAAAGCTTTCTTGTTTACAATGCTCAATCCTGATCTTAAGTAATGTATGAAATTTGTCTTCAGAAAGCAAGTACATAAACAAAAGTGATCCACAAACATGCTGTACAACATCACCCTTGTGTGTAAAGATCTTACCCACTTCTTGACACACACTGGTAACACATGCTCATCTTGCCGTGCCATTATGTCAAATTGAATCTAACTCTAAACAGATCTATAAGCAGTATCATTTGCACTGACTTAATCCAAACCCACATTTAATCGTTGCAAACTATTATGAAACCACCTTAGCGACCTGCTTTCAGCTGCTTGGTGAGTGGGACATCAACTAATACAGCGGCATGTGCTATTAAATTATGCAACAAATAAATATTTCTATCAAGCCTACATGCAGCTACTGATTTAGCTACTTGGGACAGTGATCTCTTCTGTTTGACTGAAGTATATTTTTCCATTTGAATTATCCGCAGATCTAATGCCATGATGCCTGACAATCCTTGAGTTACAGAACTGTGCCTTTGAGGCTGCCCTTGCCAGGAAAGCCTGTGAGTAGATCCGCACCCGGTTTCTATACTCCTGCTCCTAAAAACAGCCACAGGAATCACATAACATTTTCTTCTAGCAACACTGTTCCTACATCCTCTTCATAAGTATAAAAAGAACATATTATCTTTTTCTTGAATACAGGCCAGCACAGATGCTATAAATCACTCATAATAAGGCATATTAAAACTCCTTCGGTTCTATGTTCAACTAAAATAATCAGTAAAGAAAAATCAGGGTTGTTAGTTTTTTCCTGTAAAAAAGAAATGCAGCATTTGATCAGCTAGATATCAGTATCTCCTTTTTCCATTCTCAGTCTTCACACTATGTAACATCTTCTGTGCTAGTTCTTTTACTGTTAATTATCTTTAGTTCATTGGTTTTTTTCAAAGTAATTTGCACCATTATCCTCATCCTGTTTGGTGGTCCATGAGGACTGTATGGATTGATTACTATATCAATATAATATTGATTATTTAAATAGCTATGAGTCTCCTTTTCACTTGTTTTTCACTGGTTCTTCATCTTCTTTGGTGTTTTTTTGGTTTTGTGGCACTAGTTTATATTGAAAAAAAAATCCCCAACTCAAAGTCAAAAAATGAAGTTAACTTATTCAGTCACAACCTCTTCAACTCATTAAATAATTTATGTATTTGTCATTTATTCTACTTTTAAAAAGAGGAGGCCTGGGAATAATAATTGAACTGTACTTCAAAGTCACTTGAGTTTGGGTGTTAGTCACAGACTATGCCTCTTTCACCCTTCTTGGGATGTCTTAAGATAAGCAAAAAAAATACTGCAGACCCAAAATCTTAAAATCACAGAATAAGCTAATGTGCACTATTCTTAAATATTCTCCAAATCTTCAATGTAACTAAATAAATTTAACCAGCTTTTCTTCTTTCTCCAGAAAAACAGGTTTCTGAAAACTACTGTCTGAAGAAATGACTCAATGCAATGAAAATTACAGTATCGCTAGCAATCAGTCAGTTGGTAACCAAAGTAGGCTGCCCATTCTCTTACCTCTAAATTCTGTGCAACATTCTGAAAATTTCATATGTTCTGCTGTCCAAGTGTTTTTAGGATACAAAGAAATATTATAGCATTTCAGCTCCTCTAACTGTAAAATTACAACAGGTGTGTTCTACAGACTTGTGATGGACACACATTAGTAAACTAAAAATATATTTTCCAGAAAAAAAAGGGAGGTAGGGAACTTAAGTGGAATTTTGATAAACACACTGCAATTGTAATAAAGTTCATTAAACAAATTCATGGTTTCACGAGAAAGACAGATATATTTTTCAATTAATTTAATCAAATGAAGCTACTACCATAACTTGATTGAATTCCTCTGTCTCTCTCTTAATGTCCATGTAAATACTTTAAAATCTTCAGGGTCATTTTAAGATGACTGCTCTGCAGACCAGGCTCCATATAAACTAATATGATTGGAAAACACACGTCTTTGCCTCAGTAGACAAGGCACTAGCAACATTCATTAATATTTTTGACTTCAGGTATTCAAAATGTACATTTTCTCTCTCAGGAGAAGATGAAACATCCAGCAATGCAGCAGCAGAATTTAGTAGAATTTTTTTTTTTTTGGTAATCTTCTGCTATGCTTTTTTCAAGGAGCTAATGCCAGTTTCCTCCACCAACTCGCCATGTATTTGCTTCATACCTCTTGACTCCAACATAACTAAAGTTAAATCTGTCTGGTTTGCTCTAAATACAAAACAGTATTTGTGAAAAATTTGTCACAAAAAGCAAAAAATATCCAGTATGCTAGAATTATGTGAAGCACATCCTCATTATCAGAATTGTGAAACTCAAAGTTCCTGTTATAAAATATTGCTGTTCTTGATGCTACTGCAGAAAGCTCTTGGGAATTTTTATTCTTATTGCTGCTTTTTCTCCTGTATCA